TGTAAAGCCTATAGCCCCTAATGCTAACTGCCCAGTCATTAATATGAGAAATAACTTTTTACCAAAATACACCTTGAGTAGTGCCTCTCCTTCATAGGGGATGTCATGTGATAAGCAAAATAAGCTGAAGAAGAGAAAAAAAATCTGGTATTTCACTGAGATAAGAAAGGTCATCTGAGCATAATCTGAATTCTAAATAAGTCAAATTTTGGTATATAGCTTTATAAGTGTTGTGTATTCAGAAACCGCTATGATTAGTGCCTTAGGAGCAGCTAAAATAGAAATTTAATATTTGGAGTACTACTGGAACGTGTAGGTAAACTCTTAGGGTACACTCTGTAATCTGTGCATAATGACCTTTTCTGTTTATTATTAATGTTGAAACACTGGCAATAGTCACATTTTATTCTTTCCACTCATGAGACTTTCAACGAAAACATGATGCTGCAGCTCATTAAAACGGGTGCCATTAGTATTTCTTAGAATTTGCTATGTTTCGTAAGTGGAAACTGGCTAATTCCCAAGGGAGATTCAGATGCTCATATCAAGGGAAATAGTTTAGTCAGTTTGCATGGAAGTCTGGAATTAAAGCTAAGCATGAATAGCTTCATTTTGCTTGGCAGGTACTTATGCAGCAAAACAATTGATGTGTTTCTTCAGATCACGCATGCCTGTCTTGCTACTCTTAATAAACACTCATGAACACTGCAAGGAACAGCTTCTATTGATATGGTATCATTTTCTTGTATTGTGAGTACTGAATTTGCTCAAATCCAAAACAAGGTTTTTCCCCCCATTCAGCATGGGTGGGGCTTGGATCCAAGTATGGCGTGGGGAGGTGGCAGGCAGTGGCTGTGGCTCTGACCTCAGGCTTGGGCTCGAGCTCGGAGCCACAGCCCTCCCACTGTTTACCCTCCTATCTCAGCTCTAGCCCTGATTTGACATAGAACACATGCTGACTCCTGCCTCTGCGACCCCCCCCACCCCTTCTTCCTCCTGCAGCCAAGCAGCAGTGGTTGAAACAGTGGCAATTCCAGCCCTGGCTGGAGCTGCTACCATCCCAGTCACTGCTGTCTGGCCTTTTAGGATGGAGAAGCCAAAATTTGTCTCTCACATGTGAAGTTTTTAGAATGATTCCCAAATCCTAAAAAACTATGAAAGAACAACAGTGGCAACATCAGATCAGGCATTTAGATTGGAATGAGCCTAGAGACCTGTGATTTATGTCTACTCTAAATCTCTGATTTTGGGGTCCCCAAAGTAAATACAATCTGGCCTTTCATTTCAAAACCAGCCAACTATAAAGTTCTAAGAAGTAACCAGCTTCCTTTCTCAGGCCAGCACATGGACCATGTTGGAACAGGATGGCTATGTTCAGCCAGGTCTCAGCTTACATAATGTGGCTGCTCTAATTTGCATCGTGGCTATTGAGTGCAAATTGGGTTATAGAACTGAGGAGCTATAACATTGTCCTTGATGATCCGTCTCTCACTCTGTTTCTCCACTTATTTTCTGTGCCAACTTCATACATATGGGAAAGGCTTAATTTTGCAAAGCCGCCACCTTAGCCTCCTTTAAATCCCTTTAAACCTACCTCTGCTATGATGCCTGCAGATCATCTCTGTCTGGCACTGTTTAAGCAAGTTGTGAGCTGTAACTTCTGCTACATATTGATTATTTGTATTGTTATCCCATTCTCCCAGCTTGGGATGTATATCACAACAAAACTATGCATCTACTTTGGTGTTTCTCTCAGGTTGCTTGGTAAACTGCCTGTCATCCTTAAAATAAGGAAATATGTGTATTTTGACTACCAAAATCTTTAAAAAATTATGCATGAAAATTCAGTGTAGTTTTGTGCCCAGGATCCTCAGCTTTTTTTTTTTTTTTTTAATTTTTGTTTGAAAAAAAAAAAAATTTTTTTTTTTTTTAACCAAAAAAATTTTAAAAAAATATGCACAAAAATTTAGGTTATTTTTTTGCCCAGGACCCCCACTTTTTTTTTTTTTTTTTTTAACTTTACCACAAGCCAAACTCACTGTGAGTACTAGGTATAAGTTCTACCATAAAACTGACAAGAGGGTGACAAAAAAAGGCCTTATCCTGTTGTTTAAAATGTGTATGTCTGTCAGTTGCAGTTGGTGGGTTACGTAGTTAATAAAACTGTGTTTGTCAGTCTTGCATATTCTTGGTAGAGTTCCTAGTCAAATTATAGCAGTTTGGGCACCTGTTAAATGCTAAACATATTGGGTAGCTATTCCAGTTTGTTTGAGAGTCATGTTCAAAGAGACCTGTGGTCTTTATGATTGTCACATTTTGTCCCATGTTTGAGTGTCCATGTTTGGTTTTGGATAATTAAGCAAAGTCAGTAACTAAATCAAAATTTTCCATTTTCCTCTTTATACTTATGAATCCCAAAGCTTTCCAGAGCAGAACAGTTTACATAACCTGTGATCTCAGTTGTGTGACTTCTACTCAGGTGCTCAACGTTCTTCCTGAACAGGTGCTAGGTCATGAGCTGATAGCTCTTTACAATTATTTCTGCTAGTTTTTTTTGTTAAACTTAAGTCTTGGCTAAAACAGGCTGAGGCTTCTGTGGTGTTTGAAGCAGGAGCATTTCTACTGGGAGTGAATGGCATAAACGAGAAGGTTTGTTGCATTGTTTTCTCATGCTTTCTTTTACACATCTTACAATAGAAAGAGTATCAGAGAGAGAAGTTTTTGAAGAAAGAAGGAAAATACAAGTACTTGATACAAGTATGCAGAAATGAATATGCTGTTTTAGGGACTCTGCCATACCCTCGTCTTATGACATTTTTAACAATTTCTCTACGCTGTTTTAAAGTTTGTCTTATGTTTTATTCCCATCTTGCATATTTTATTTCTGGATTTGCTGCACTTTCTGGCTTTCCCCAAAGCTGTGTATTCAGTAGAATTCATTTAACTTTTGTATTAAAAATTTCTGCAACATGCTGTCTTTGCCAGAAAAATTTTGAATGACTTGTCCTCAGACGCCCCAGGAGTGCCAAGAATTGAAGAAGAAAAGTCAGAAGAGGAGACATCAGCACCTGCCATCACCACTGTGACGGTGCCAACTCCCATTTACCAAACCAGCAGTGGGCAGTACAGTATGTAGTCTAAATCTATTGGTAGTCATAGTAATTGGGTGCTGGAGTAGAAAAAACTGTTAAATTTTATTTGCATGACTGTTTATGCTGGAAATAATACAAGGGACCAACATAGTGTAATTTAATTTGCCTTTGATGCCTTGTACCATGCTCAAGGACTTCATTAGTTCCGATCGTACCAAAAAGTGTGATTTTTTTTTTTTTTTTTTTTTTTTTTTTTTTTTTTTTTTTTTTTTACACATTCTCACTGTAGGTGTGTGTAATGTACATCTTACACATACAGGGCCTCCAGGTTGGCAAAATAAAAACCAACCAGACTGTTTATTATTACAAACTTTGGTGAGGAATCTGTTGAGACCCTGCTTTCTTACTGATATTTTAGTAATTTTAGCTTATAACCTTTTTCATCTTAAATATAAAACAAATTTAAAATATAAGCAACTTTCAGCTAAGAAGAAATCAGCTTAATTAACCTAATTTAAAAAATATACGTATCATGTTCTATGTTTGCAACTATAACCATTACATTTTATGGATATATGGTACCTTTAAACTAAAGCATTGAGGGAAGATGCAGTAATGTAACCGCAGTTCCAGAACTGTGCAAGCCAACAGATGTGCTCAGTGTTGAGTATACAAGAAAGGAAAGAAAATATCTTTTTAAGCACTTAACTCCTTAGCCTGCTTCCCCAATGTCTCCCTCGATTTTCATTGCTGATGCTACACATCTGTTAGTGCAGAAATACTGTTCAGGACTGTACACATACACACACATCCATGTGTACACATACACACACACACCTCTCTCTCTCTCTCGAAACTGGAATACACTAATGGTTTGAAGGGGAATCTTTGTGAGATTCCCCTCATACCTGCAGCTGCACTGAAGGAGAGAGAAATAAAGCTGATATAGGATGAACATTTTTTCTATAAGGAGTGGAGAAGCTGGATGTGTGCATGTACAAATGGGGGTAGGAAATGGGATATAAGCAGGAGAAAAGAAAAATGGTCA